TCCCACGGAGACGGGGCTGCCATGCGGGGCAGCTCCACGGCCCAGGACAGAGACCCGCCCCCGCCCCCACTGCCGGCAGACTCGGGAGGGCCGAGGGCTCTGGACACCGGCAGTCCCGCCCCGGCCGGGTGAGTACCCAGGACGCCGCCACCCGGGGCCGCCTGGAGCGGGATCTGCTGCCTGCCTGCCCGCTCGCCCCTGCCCTCTGCAGATGGCCGGGCGGGGGCGACCGGCACACACGCCCGCAGGCGTGAGCAGCGTCCTCTTGGGACGTCTCCAGCTGCCCCAGGAGTGACTCTGCCCTGTGCTGAACCGAGGTGGCACAGGGCCGTCCTAAGGGGGCCGCCCCCGCCGGCCTGCCGCCGGAGACCCCAGAATGTCCGCAGGACCGCCTGCTGGGTCTTGGCGGGTCCCCCACCCCGAGGACGGCCCCAGCCGCCCTGCAGTGCGTGCTGCACCTCCACCCACTTTGGGGCCACCCGGGGGGCCAGCACCGCCTTCTCCACCTTCGTCCACTCTGGAAGGCAGGTCAGGAGGCCTGGTGGGCGCGCGCTGGCCGAGGGCAGGCCTGGCAAACGCCCACGACCACGGACCACCACAGACCCCACAGCGAGCACGGGGTGAGGGGCCGGCAAGCAGGGGAGAACCTGGCTCTCGGGGGGACACGCAGCTGCCCGCCCGCCCTTCCCCGGAGAACATGGGGCCGTGAGGGGGAGCCGGGCTCAGGGCGGCCCCCGGAGGGCTGCAGGGCCAGGGCGCGGGCACACCGGCGTGACCGCAGGAGGCCCAGCGGCCGGCCGCCCGCCCCAGCCGCCTCGCAGCCCCTCTCCTCAGACTTATCTCTCTCTCGCAGGCAAAGTATGAAAATGACAACTGCAGATAACACATAATGGAGCTAATCTTTCTTCTGAAGATAAGATTTCCAGGCCTGGACTCAGCCCACGTCTGCGGGCTGCCGCGTTTGCTGCAAACACAGCCGCGGGGTGTGTGGGGAGGCCGAGGGGGGCCGCGCCCGGCATCAGCCCGGGCTCACTTACTCCCCGGAACCTAACTGCGTTTCGCTCTCCCACGGCTGCTGTGTTCACGGCAGCCTGCACCCCACGCTCACGGAGCCACCCGGAGCCCGCTGGCGCTGCCCGCTCGGGAGCGGGGCCCTGGGCCCGCGTCGAGGCTGCCTGGCCCTGAGGGCGCGAAGCCTCCCAGCGACCGGAGGTTTGCACCAGCCGGACAGGCAGCCGCGCCTGGGGAGGGGCGGACTGGCCCCGTCCCCGTGGGCCCCGGCCTCGGGCAGCTCGAGCGGCCTGGAGCCAGCTGGTCAGGGCCTCGGCGCCTCGGGACGCTCAGGCACGTCCAGGACGCCGGGGGACGCTGCTTGCGGTCAGGCCCTGGGCCGTGCCCCTCCGGCGTGAGGGCAGCTCTGTGGTCACGGGCAGGGCCGGCAGCGGGGTCAGGCCAGCGCCCAGGACCTGACCGTCCCAGGACAGCGGCCATCAAGCTGCTGAGATGTTCCGGCCCTCGCTGCGGAGGACGCCACCCCGCTGCTGGCTGGGGCACCCGCTCCCGCTGGGCGGCGACACTCACCCACGTTGGCCAAGGTCAGGTGCAGCTGGCCCTTCACCACCAAGTGGACACCGATGGGTTTGACGCTGCCAAAGCCGGTCAGGTCTCCGCTTACCACCATGGTGTCCTGCTCGTACTCGGTGGCCACGACGTCCAGCTCGTGCGAGACCTGCACAGCTGGCCGCCCCTGGCGGAGGAGATGCTGCAGGGACAAGGCTGCTCAGGGCAGAGCCGACGCCGGCCCCGCCCAGCGGGCGGATCACGGGGGGCGGGGGGGAGGAGGGTGTGGAATGCCAGGCCCAGGAGCACCCCCACCTGCAGTCGGAGGACAGGAGGTGGAGTCCGCCTCCCCTGACACCCAGCTGAACAGCAGGGTCTCTCCACAGATATTTAAATAAAGTGCGGCCAATTCTCCAGGGAGTGGACAGCGGGCTGCACACACAGGCCGGCAGCCCCCCCGGGGCCCCCAGGGGCAGGTGGAGAGGCGGGAGCGAGGCGGGAGCCGGCACCACCCCGCCCACGCTACCTTCAAAGGCACGGCCGCCGACCCCAGGAGCAGCAGGGAGCCCCCGTCCCAGACGTCAATCTGCAGGGTCTGCACGGCCAGGTAGCGGGTGAACCAGCGCGGCTCTCCGGGGGTCATGGCCCCAGGGTCCACCAGGTACGTCTGCCGGAAGCCGGGAGCCCCTGCGCACGGAGGCCCGGTCAGCCCAGGCCGCCCGTGCCGGGGCCCTCGAGGCCCACCCTGGTCACAGAGGCATCCACCACACGACAGTCACTAGACGCGCCCCAGAGCTGTCAGGGCGCACCCCGCGGTCAGGTGGGGAGCGGGCTCCGGGCAGCCGCGCCTCCCAAATGTGCCGCCTCCACCAGGTCCTGCGGGCAGCACCGGGCAGGGCGCCTGACCAGCTGTGTCAGAGCCGGGCGTCCAGACACATGCAATCGGGCCAGTGTGGGGCGCCCACGCAGGCTGGGGGAGTCAGTGTCCCCACGTTCCGGGCGCCCGCGCGGCCGGGGAGTCAGGGTCCCCATGCTCCGGGCCCCACGCTCCAGGCGCCCACGCAGGCCAGGGGAGTCGGGGTTCCCATGCTCCGGGCGCCTGCGCAGGCCGGGGGAGTCAGGGTCCCCACGCTCCGGGCGCTCGCACAGGCCGGGGAAGTCGGGGTTC